GGGCGGGGGGGTCCGGATGCCTGGCTGTGTGTCGGGGGACATGCTGAGCTCTGCGGGGCACCCTACAGTGGGGGGGGGGCTTACCCAAGGGCCCCCAGGGCTCGCCTTCGCGCTTGCCCTCGCCCAAGCGCTGGGAGTCGGAGCTGAGGCTGTTCTCGGCCGAGAGCTGGTCGGTGCTCACGAAGCTGTGCCTGCGGAGGGACGGCGCTGAGCCCCCCTGCGCCGTGGCCCCCGGGGCCAGGACAGCCCCGTCAGGCAGGGCCAGCCCTTCTCCCCGTCCCCTGCCCGGGGCAGACCCCCCCGGGGCGGGATGGGGCGCTGGGCGCGGGTCGGGGCAGCTCTGCCCCCGCGGGGGGTTACCTCCTGTAGAGCTTGCTGTCCGAGCCGCTCTCGTTGCCGTTGAGGGTCCCCAGTGAGGGCCACTGGTTCACCAGGGGCGTCACCATCTCCTTGGAGAGCTGGGCCAGCTGCGGGTTCTCGCAGGGGATCAGCCCCGTCCTGCGGCAAAGGCGGATGGTCAGCACCCGGCACAGCCGTGAGTGCCAGGGACCTGCCGGGCAATGTGGCCCGTGGGGCATATATGGCACTGGGGACCCACCATGTCCCACGGGGCATATGGGACACTGGGGACCCACGACATCCCACAGGACATAGGGGACACTGGGGACCCTCCATGTCTTACAGCACATATGGGGCACCTGGGTACTGGGGACCTGACACCCATCGCATCCCGTGGCACATATGGGACAGTGGGGACCCACCGTGTCCCACAGGGCATATGGGGCACCCAAGCACTGGGAACCCACCACCCATCACACCCCACAGGGCATATGGGGTGTCAGGGACCCAGCACCCACCCTGCCCCTCAGGGTCCGTGGGGCACTGGGGACCCACCACCCACCCAGAGCTCATGGGGCACCCAGGCACCAGGGATCCCCCACCCACCGCGCCCGGCCTGGCCCGGCGGCAGCAGCGGGTCCCCACTCACAGCTGCTCCTGCAGCTCCAGGATGACGCCCTCCAGCTCCCTCTTCTCCAGCTGGTTCTGCACCATCACCTCCTCCAGGCGCAGCTTCAGCCGCTTGTTCTCCGCCTCCAGGTCCTTCAGCTGCGACTCCCGCAGCCGCACCAGCTCCTCCAGGTACCCCTGCACGAGGCCACCGTCAGCAGCGCCCCGCTGACCCCACCAGACCCCCCCGTGTCCCCAGCGCTACCCAGGGTGACGAGGAGCGGGCTGGGTCACCGCAGCAGCGGGATGAAGGGCTGCGGGTACCACCGGGCTGCAGGAGCAGTGGGAGATGCTTGGGGCTGGAGCATCCCAGGGGGGTTGGTACCCAGCCAGCCCCATCCCAGCTCCTGGTACCTTTTGGGCATAAACGATGCGAAATTTCTGCTCCATCTTGCGCCACTTGTTGTACCAGCTGTCCTCATCGGTGACCAGGGGCAGGTAGGGATGCTCGGGGGAGCTGTCCTCGCTCGTGCTGCTCTCCACACTGCCCCGCTCCTCCTCCTCACTCAAGTAGTCGTAGCTGGGGGGTACGGGGGCTCAGCGGGGACGGCAGCACGGCGAGGGGCTGGCACGCGCGAGGGGAGCCCGGCTGAGCCCCGATGGGAGAGAGATGGGGGGGTCCCCACCCCCGGCAGGGCACCCCAGCTCTTACCTCTGCGTGAACTTCAGGTAGGGTGTGTAGTCGATGACCACGGGCGTTTTACCGTCCATCACCTCGCCCTTCAGGCAGAAGCTGAGCGGCGGCGGGAGAAGGAGCAGAGGATCAGGGCAGCCCCGGGGGGCCAGCGGCGGGCCCGGTTGGGGCAGGGTGCCCGTGTCCCACCGCGCTGCCCACCCCTACCTGAAGTCGATTGCGCTGAGCCCGATGAGCATCCCCGTCAGCACCGTGGACTCCTCCCGCAGCATGATGGCCCCGTCGTCGTAAAACCGCCTGCAGGGAAAAACGTGGCTGCATGTGGCCCCGCCGGCACCCCCA